CCCAGCCATTCTTGCCAGTTCGACTAAGGTGTCGCATGACTAGTAAATTGTGTCCTCATATTAGCAGCTCCTGATCAACTCTTCATTATGCTCTTGTTCGCATAATAGTTAGATAACTTTGTTAGTTTCTGATCTTGCATATTTCTTTATGTTTTCTTTATCTTCAGATGCATGATCTTGTAGTAGTTCATATGTAGACTGTTTCCCCATGCTATGCATGATCTTGTGAGACATGTACACTCTTGTTTTCCTTCTCAGCACCTAGCTATCTATCTATATATTCATTCCAAATGAAGAATTGCTAAGGAACAATGGTATTATAGCAGCTATTATAATAAAATCCAAACTATCTTAAAGATCTATCTGGGCCTAAAAACTTTTTAAATCAGATGAAGTACTAAAGGACAACTTAGCAGCCTGAAAATGGAGTTTGCATCATTACTATGCATCTCCCAGGTTTTATTTCAGCTAAAACAGAAAGGATCAATACTAATGTAAAGATACCAGTGTTGCATAAAAATAATCAGACCTTCCTTCTTTAGAATAGGCCGACTAGTGAGAAAATTTCGCACAGCGAAAAGGTGTCTCCCACGAAGTAAGGATTCACAGCTCCATTTCAAGTCAATGCCATGCCTGTTTAAAAAAATTACAACAAAGCACAATTATACAGAATGACTGAACTGATTAAACCAATAAAAAGTATGAAAAATCAAGAAAAGAGGACATGTGTAAATACCGGGTCTTATAATATTTCTTATACGTGAGAACTTCACCGTCGTTCAACACCAAAGAAGAATCTCCGTTACAGTGGTTCAGCATACCATTTATACAATAAAACTTGCCATTATGAGGTGTATACACTACAGAATTCTGAAGCATGCAACGACAGACTGCACCATCTATACTCTGAATTGGTTTTACTGCTCCATTTGTACAGAAACAGTGCTTCTGATACTGGCCCTGAGCCATACTTATTGAGAAAGCAGACGACTTGATACAATGCCAATCAACTTTGCCTCCAACTAAAGGGAGGAGTAAGTAGGCAACATCCATACATGATGGTGTCTTATGTAGGTGCTTCATGGTGTCCTGGAATTTGACAAAATCATGGTGAATGAGCACATTGAGAGCACTGACTTGAAATTTCATGGCCATCAAAACCTGCAAAATTGTAGTGACAAATCAACATATAGTAAATACTTGAGGAAAAACGAATAATATCATTACCTGTTTAACTATCTAAATTAACAATATTATCCGAACAATAAGATTAAGCTTTTGTTTAAAATGGTTTTGACGTGGTGTGACAGGACCAGGTTTCAAGAGACTACATTAATGATACAGTTAAATATGTTTGTTTACCACTATCTATCTTCCTTCTGAAGTAAGTCATATTATGCTTAAGCCTATATACATAGTCCAAGGATCCATATAAGAGGCATTTTAAACCTATCCACGTAGCTCAAGGATCCATATAAGGGGCAGTTTATTAGCCAGCAAACTACAGCATGAGCATTTGGGTAGACGGGATTTCCCATACATCACTATTTATAACTCCATATACAATAACTATTTATATCAGATGCATTTCCAATGGGAAAGGAAAGAGATATGAAAAAAATAATTAACCTGCTCACGATTAAAATGAACAGGTCCGCAATATTTCACGTCCACAGTTACTGAACCCCTGTCAGCTTCTAAGTTAAAGGAGTATGAAAGAGGACCAACTCCAAGGTCAGATTTTACCACAAGAAGAATGTCATTGAAAGAAGTTTCATAGTTGAAATGCTGATTTAATCTGATCGTGTAACAGTGGTACAGACCAAGAGAACAAAAGGAGGACCAAGAATCCACCAATTCCCCAGGAAAATAGTCAGATTGTTCGGTCTTGTAAGTCTCAGAATCTGCACGGTAGAATGAACATGGAATAGAAAAAAGTTCAGCATTGCCCCATAACAGAGAAGCAGCAACTGGATGCACATTCTTAAATAAAAAATTGAAAGTTGACAACCGATATACTAACAAAAAGCATAAATGACACTTAAAAACATTTGCAAGATAAGCTACACTAACAATATTAAAATAATAATAATATACGTTTAGAACACGCTGTGAAACAGTTCTGTAAATATAAAAACTAAGTAGTGGAACCTAGTACAGTTACTCACCAATTTCTTGAGTGCCGTCCTCCATATCCACATCAAATGCTGGTAAAAGAAAATCAGAAAGTGCCCCAATCTGATGAAGCTTCTTCAATGCTTCCAGACATGCAATTTGTTTTAGCTTACCAGCTTTACCCTCAACAACCAGAGTTTGTACAGGACAGCTTTTTGGAAGATGCAGCTCGCAGATGTTTGACTCTTTCGTCATAACAAATCTTGGAACTGGCTTAAAATACCTGCAGAATTAAAACTTAAGCAATCTGAGAAAATATAAGTCATGCAAAACCAAAAATATCCTATAGACGGTATGTGATCATATACCCATCTGAGGGAAGCCGAGAGCAGTAGAAATATAACAGAGAAACACTGGAACTCAAGGTCACTTTAGCTCCCGTAGTTTCGACACGATAAAATTCCTCATCATAAATTTCATTTTCAAGAGGTTTGCATGGAAGAGAAGCCTGACGCAAAGACTCCTCTCGCATAGTATATCCGCTGCTAAGATAACTTGTAACTTTCGACAGCGTTGTTGAATCACCACTGGAATTACAAAAGAATAAGAACAAATTTCTAGCTTTAAGTAATATAGATGATTAACAGTCAGTTATCTAATATTATTAATTTTGAATATAATATAGGATAATAATCCAACAGACCTTTAAAGTTAAATCATTGAATCTCTGGATAATAAGCAAATTCAATACAAGATAAAGAGTAATTAACCAAAAAAGGGGGCATGCAAGACATCCTAACCATCCTAGCTTATATATATCAAATAAGAGTATTGATGCAGACCAAGGCAGAGGCTCCAATCCAAAAGTACAAGGCTCTCTAATTGAATGTGATGCATTCGATGCAATCCAGATCCGATCGGAAAGGACAGAGGTTCTCGATATTGTAGGTTTTCATGGGTATTCAAAACTGAATGGGATCTAAAAGGTGGAATGTGTAGAATTTTAAGTATTTGATAACTTTCCGGAGCCATGCTGTAAAGCATTGGCAGAGAAAAATCATAACTCATTGAGGGTAGATGAAAGGAGATCCAACAACGGCGATACTCGATGAGATCACATCTCATCGGGGCTCATCGAAGCTCGGGCGTGGTTGAATCTGGTCGACAAAGAGGCGTGAGGGATCAGATATCGAGAAGAGTGCAGATGAGGAGCACTGAAGGTACTGATTACGTGGATGAGCAGTACATTGTTACTTTCATCCGTGAACAGTGACCACTTTTGTGTGTTTTTTTTTTGGGGGATCTTTTTAAGGATTAGGGGTTTTTTTTTTTTTTTTTTTTTTTTTTTGGGTTTTTTTTTTTTTTTTTTTTGATTGATTGGAGGGCAGAGATTTCAAGAATAGTTGGATTTGAAGGTTAAGACTTAACTGAAAGGGGCCACACACCATTTAGCAGGTCACATGCAAATTTAGAAATCCGAAATTTTACTTAATCCTACATCTTACTTATAGAAGAGAAAGCTAGCACACAACATTTCGAAGTAAATCAAAATCCTAATCAAAACTAGCCCTAACATAATTAAAAGATGCAATAAAATAAAATCCTAACTAATCAAGAAGGTGACATCAAAATCAAATTCTAAATAAATCCTCATTAAATTAGAAAATTACATAGAATAAAATCAAATCCTACTAACAAATCTAACATTCTAACTAATCCTGGTTTCATCAAATTGAAGACCCAACATCGTCCTGCATCTAGTATGTGATAGATTGTCCAAAGGAATGTCAGTTGTCCATGATTTTAAACGAATACAAATACGAACACCTCAGTATTTAAATTGATTTTTTTTAAGTCCTAGCTAAGACAATTTCCTGTCTACATTCTCTCAAAAAACTGAATTTAAACTACCCATTTCCTCTGGAGCTTTTTCTACAAATTACATGATGAAACAAAATTGTTCTTGGAATTTGAATGATTCAGGTCTTTTCTGGACGAAGCTATTCAAAAGATGTAAATGACAGCTTCATGTTTTCTTGAGCAATTCTAAAGGTCCTTCATAAACTTCTCCTTTGCTAAGTCGCAATTCATAATTGGTTTCTAAGAATGAATTCACGTGGTTCCTTCTCAATTTTAGTACGAATTAAATATAGCCAAAACATACCATCAATAACAAACATAGACATCAATATTTTATTTTCAAAAGCTTTGAAAAAGAATCATGCACTAGTTCACCAATCTGCACAAATTTCCTTGATAATCTGGCTATCTTTTGGGGTCGACAATAGAATTGGTGGGCATTTAAGGGTACAATGTTTTGAGGTGCTCCCAACATATAGTTTATCTTTGGGTATATAAGTATTAGCTATACAAGGTAGCTTCAACTAACAGTCACTATGAATCTTCACTCCAACCAAAATACAACTCATGTTCTTATAGGTTAAGTACTTTGGAACCTTGATTGTAACTCATAAATAGTAGACTTATTCGTAGATAGTCTAAATAATCATTCATCTTATTTTGGCTGCATCATTTATTAATTGCTATACGGACATGTTCGACATTATTATTTATACAAAATTTACACTTAGTTGACTGTCTACATTTTCCATATAGTAGTTCAAGAAGTGTGGGTATTGCTTTGAACAATATTATTCGCCATTTTATGAAGACTTTGTATAATTTCAAATCCAACAACATATAAGGGTTGAAATGCTGTGTTTGTCTGTAAGCTACATCTTGAAGATCCTCATTTAAAGGAAAATGTAGTTAACAAATTAAATTATCACCTTTTAATAATCAACAAATACTCAGATCCTCGCATCCTTGCACGGCCCCGCGACTGTATAAAACTACATACGTTCATCGCTTGGTCAAACCTTACCACAAGGTTGCAGCTTTGTACATCTAGGCCTTCCTCAAGGATCTGGGTTGCGACAATGATTTTAGCCTACAATATTGAGAAAGATATATTAGAAAATTTGAGAAACGGAAAAGATCTGATATGATTGTAGAAGAAAACTGACTGTGCCGTCTTGAAATGTGTCGACAATTCTCATTTGCTCCTTCCTAGTCTGGGATTGCAAACCGGACTGATTGCCAGCCATGTATTTTGTTCCTAACCAAGAAAGTTCTTGGATTTCTTGCAACAGGGATTGCAGTACAATCGCAGTGATAACTCTTTCAACAAACACAATACATCTCAAATTATGCACCATTCTGGAAACAACCAACATTTGTTAACTGTAGGAACAATTTATGATGTAAATAAATTATAAAACAAAGTCAATTTTAGCTGCAGTAAAAAATTCAAATAACCTGAAATGTGACTGAAAAATTAAATGATAGATTCTATTATTGACATGCTAGATGCTATGCTTGACAAGACGGACATTAAAAATTATCAATTTGTTAGTATTGTGGACCAGTAAAAGCATTAGTCAAATGAACCAACGCGGGTCCAGCCAATTTCCATCAGAACATCCAAAGAGCTCAAACTTAGCAGATTCTCTCCTCTGAAGATCTTTATCGCAAGGGAGGAACATCGAACAAAAAACTTTTTTGATAAATAAAATAAAGATCATCCAGGAATGCAGAAGTACATAGGAAAATGCTTGATCCATGATAATTTATTTTCATGCTGACACTTCGTAGGAATTCACCAATCTCACATCAGATTAGGCGATGAAGGGTATTAAAACAATTCTACTATCAGAAAAAAAAAAATTTCACCATGAATTAAAGTGCCCAATTAATATATCAGAAATAAAAATAATTTTTAGACGATAGAATTCAATAGGTATAGACCTTACCTGTAGTTTAAAAGTGACATAATGAGACAGTGAACTTTCGAAGACAGAAGACCACTCACAGTATCAGCATGGAGATCTTCACCAATGCATCGTTCTAAGAAAAAAATGGAGAAAGAGCGATCAAATCAACCGCTGTAAAGTTTACAAGTCAATAAGCCAAATACAAAAACCTTTGTTCATAAACCACCATCATATGTAGCTTGAAATTTATAAGGTGTGTGACAATGTTTATCTATATGAATATTAACTAGGAGTTTTTATTCCAAAAGAGGCCTTTTTTGCTATAATTAGCAAAACCGACTGTTTTGCTAATTATTTAGTAAAACCGAACAGGCCAAAAAGAGGTCGGTTTCGCAGAGATGGACTTCTGAAACATACGGGGCTAGTAGTCCCGTATGTTTAGTGGCTAGTATTTGACCTCTAATCAGAGCTCAGAAAATCCACGGGACTACTAGTCCCATGGGTTTTCTGAACTGCCAAACAAAACGCAACCTGGGCAAGGTCACCCAGCAAATCCACAGGACTATAATCCCGTGGATTTGTCGGACCTATATAAGCTTAGTTGTGCCCAAAAATTAGGGCACAACCTCCTCTCTCTATCCCTCCCGATCTCTCACCTCATCAAACCCGATTTTTATCCACCCTCTCCCAATCTCTCTCTCCCAATCTCTCTCCCTCAATAACTCTAACCTCATTCCATTTATTCTCTCCAAAATCACCTCTTTCTCCCTTAATTTTCTCTCTTATTCTCACCAAACCCAAATAGAGATATTCCCCAAAGTTCACTCTAGCATTATTGCTTCCCCAAAGCTCACTCTAGCATTGTTGAAGTCCGACACCGTCTATCCTTTCTGACACTGACGAATTTCAGATCATCATCAAGGTATAAATTTCAACTTTTCCAAATTTTCTCTATAATCTAGTTAAAATTGTAGTTTGAAAATAATTATATATTTAGAATAATTTTTTTAATTATGATAAACAATGGGATTTGGTTAAATTGTGATAATAAAATTTTGGTAGATTAAAATTTGATAAATAATTTGCATATGATAAAGTTAATATTTTAATTCGAATGGCGAATGGAATATCAGTTATTTACTTATTCAATGAGAAACCGAGTGTTAGAATGAATAATATGCCTATATACAAGGGTGGATCTAGAAAAAATTTATGTTATCTAGAAATTGCAACAACTTCGATGGAATAATGGAGAAAATATACAGAGTTACTAGAGTTAATCATGGAGAGTGCGCCACTAAGATCTTTTGCAATTGTCTGATAAATGGAAAAAAACAATTGCTCTAGAGATCACCAATGATCAAGAACTGAATGACATGATACAACTTGCGAAAAACCAAATTTTAGTCCAATTGTTTATTGAAAATATTTCTATATCTGGTGTTGCCCAAGTTTCATATGCTCCTGAAGAGTTCTCCCGGATGCTTGACTTAGAAAATAACTCGAGCGAATTCATTTCATCTCTAAGTGCCTTACACTTAGAAAATGACTCAGGTCCAATATCAAGTGACGTGTTCCACAACGCTTCGGGTCATGTTTCAGTTAATTTACTGGTTAGTTCTATTGTAGAAGAGGATGAGGATGTAGATGATGATTATGAAGATGCAAAAGAGGAGGAACATCTTGATAGTATGCAGTGTGCAATTAGAGGAACCGATGAGGACACCCATTGGATAGATGAATATTGTGTAAACAACGATTATATTGAATTTGAAGAGTCGTTGCCATAAGAGTTTCAAAATGAGTAGTGGATAAATGCCTCAAGTTGAGTTCGTTGAGTTTGTTCTAATTTCAAACGACCTGAGGACTTCACTTTAAAAAAAAGGAGATGTTTTCGAGAATAAGGAAACTTTAGTTTTCACTATACGTGAATGGTCAATCAAGAACCGGGTCACATTCAAGCCGGTGAAAACTAATACACCAACTACTATGTAAAGTGCTACTACGACAAAAAAGCTCAAGGAGAGTATGCAAGTGCTCAAGACGAGAGAAATTCAAAGTGTCCATGGAAGCTTAATGCAACTGTTAGGAAAAAATCTAATGAGCAATTTATGATCTGTAGTTATTGCGGACTTCATACACGTTGCAATCCAACTGTCGAGCAATGGTTGCAAGGATAAAGACGTTTTATAGATTAAACGCGTTCTTTAATCAGAGACGTGGTGATGGTGCAACTTGGATGACAAGTTACACTCCAAAAATAAGAGTATTCTGCAGAAAATGATTGTGGCCGTAAGATTATGTAGAATTACTCTATTCAACGATAATGAACGAAAAGTTAAAGATTATGAAGGTACTTACACCGTCTATCTCTATGACCAAGAGTGCAGTTTTACTTGTAATATACCATAATTACAAAAATTACCATGTGAACATGTTTTCGCGACTAGTTCCAATCAGGATGGTAGCGCTAGATTGTATTATGATCAGTATTGCTCAGCTTGGTGTTTCACAATCATTATCGAAAGGTTTATAAGGAGAGCTTTCATCCTCTCCATGATAGTCATTATTGGCCAACTTAAAATGGACTATGTATATTACCACATCAATAGAAAAGGCAAGCGGGACGACCTCGCTCCGTGCACAATAGAGGTACTATGGACCAAGGCCGAAAAGGAGTAGTGTCGTGAATTAAATGTGGACAATATAATCAATTAGGTCATAATAGGTCTCATTGTCCATCAAGAACAAGTACATAGCAATTAATTGGTAATATATTTTCTATCTCTCTTTTCATTGTTATTATAGGCTTACTCATTCTTATAATCTTATTGATTTTGCGGGAACTAATAAGTTAACAATTATATGTGCACGTATATACACTATGCTTCCCGGGCCGATTAGTGATGATGTCCTCTATGATCAGTCACGACACCGTTCAGAAGGTAAGCATCAGATTGATGGGTCACTTGTGTATAATCAGTACATTGCTCGATGGAATGAGCGGCATTTGAGCATCGTCGAGCAACTTTATCCTTTGACGGAGGAAATCGACTATATAAGATGGTATTGGGGGATTATCAGAAGATGAATAATCACTCAAACCACGCCTCCGGTTGACGAAATCAAGATACATTCCCAACAAGCAAGATACGTACTAAGGGGAGTAGATGAAAAAGAATGGGTAAGTAAAACGCGTAAATTTAAATAGTTTTTTAATCCATTAGCGTTTGGTTGCGCATATATATAATTATTATAGCTTTTTAGTGATTGCAGATAGACGCTATGGATGAGATAGTGGATTGCAAATGAAAGCATAACTACCACCAGAAGAGATTCAGTACATGTATCGGTATTGTAGCAGATAGTAGGGAGGGTTCGTAAAGCTCTTCATCAAACTCATGAGGATCAGCATGATGGTCGCGAGCAGATGACGGATGAGAAGGTATATGCACACCGACGAAGATGAGGTGAATCTTGCTCGCACAACAATGAAGGTTGTTCGTCACAATAAGCTGGTCCGTCACAGCCCCACACACAACCGGAGAGTGAGCACGTACAAGCTCAAATCGAAGGAGGACGCCGACGATTGGAGCGGGTACAAAGAGGGAGACAACGGGGGAGGAGCGGACTTTTAAGTTACATGTGATAGTTCTTTTTACTTAGACTATATTTTTCGTATAGATAGACTTGATATATTTGGATTTGTTTGGACTATTTTGTCGTATGGATATGTATATGACATAGCTATCGTGTTGTGATATTGTGAATTCATAAATGTGTTTTTATCTAGTGTTTATTTCTTAAAATTTATATCTATATAAATATTATATGAAATGGATGTTCTATTTTTGTAGCCCAAACAGGTCTGCCACGCAATGTATATGAAGCGATATAGCATGTGCATGTTCTGTGCACGTTGGTGGTGTGCCCAACAAATCCACGGAACTACTAGTCCCGTGAATTTTCTAGGCAACCTCGCCCGGGTCTCTGTTTACCGCACGGGACTAGTAGTCATGTGCGTTTTGTTTGGCAGCTCAGATTAGTGGCCAATTACTAGCCACTAAACATACGGGACTACTAGTCCCGTATGTTTTAGAAGTCCATCTCTGCGAAACCGACCTCTTGGTAGCTAAAAAGAGGTCGGTTTTGCTAAATAATTAGCAAAACGGTCGGTTTTGCTAATTACTTAGCAAAAAAGGCCTCTTTTGAAAAAAAACTCCTATTAAATATGTATATTTCCTTTTTATAATAATTTAGTGATAAGCTCTACCTGTTAAAGGTGGAAATAGGTTAATGCACAAGTTCTTCCAAATGTTTAAATTTCGCACAACCTATCTCTTCATAATTTGTAGTGTATGTTTGGATAGCATTTGTCTACACGGGACATCTGACAAAGGACATCATTGCAAGGTACATTAATTTTCATAGTTTTTGTATAGTCCGAACCTTATTCATTGCATCCCCAAGTTGCGTACTAACTTGAGAAACAAATAACTATATGCAACCAAAAGATCAGAAGGTTTAACCATCAAACTTACAATAAGAATAAGACATCACATCAAATCTCTCAAGAAAAGAGGATGTCTCAAAGTAAAGAGTATATAGGTTCAGTGATGCAACATAAATAGTTGAGAATAGGAGCACAAGAAGGAGGAAAGTGTACCCCAATAACAAAAACACAAAAGTATAAAAAAATTTAAAATCTTGGAAAGCGTTGGAGCCAGAAAGGAATAAGTGTAAGCAAGTAACTGACCAAAAATTGTGAAATACAAAATAAGTTCGTCAATTTACATACCAGCAGGTAAATACTTCGAGAAAATCTTAAAAACATCAAGACTAAATTGTCTGACAATTTTTTCGCTGTGTTCCCTTTCACCCCAAAAGAAGCTATCATTTTCTTTGCGTGACAGATATTCTGCTGCCTGTACAGAAGAAACAGGGTGAGTAGGGAGGGGGGGAACTTGTATTAATCTTGACAGCAAAGTTCCACCACACAACAAGATTGTGGCATACCTTGGCTGCTAACCACACTCCAAGTTCTGTCAAACAAAATAAGAAGGTACCATGTAGCTTCTTAATCTTCTTTCGGGCACTGTCCTCGGCTGAACTATCAAGCATTAATTCTGGCAACTTCTTCAGATGCTATAAAAAAGATAATTTGCAAATTATGTTACTTCATTGGCATGCTTGAAACTTCAATAAAATTATGACAAAAATCCAGCTATAATACAGACGCCAGAAGTTTGGTATATAAACAAACACCTAAATGATTGTGTAACAAGTTAAGTTCTTAAACAAATAATGTACAAAAAATGAGCACAGTGTTTTAATTATTATGACAAAAATCCGACATTAATACGTTTGATCAATGAGAATATATCACTCCTTCATATATAATGCGAAATTGGTGGAGGAGGGACTCAGGTCTCCCTTCTGAAAACATTGCCACGTATCTTCCCTAAGCATGACATGTGGACACCTTATCCTATGAGAAGTTTGACATGTGGAAACTAAATCCGACCTTCGCCTCATAATCCCCATCAAATTAAAATTATTCATAACAAAAAAAAATTAATAATCAAATATTTGGTAAAGACAATCAAATCATAACTATCTATATTTAAAAAGTTTTGTTCCAATAAGTTACGATAGGAAATTACAAACATCACCCTACAAGATCTAAACTTTTGAAACAACCACCCGAAAAAATGTAAAGTCCTGAAAAAACTTGAAAATTGTAAAATCGACCCTAAGAATTTTTAAAAACTTTAAACCACCTCCCGAAAATTCACAAATTAGAAACAGCCCCTGAAAACTTCAAAAACTATAGAAAACCCCCTTTAAAATAAAACTTTTTCAAACAACCCCTTGAAAAATCTATAAATTTCAAACAAACCCCTGATAAATGTGAAATTTACAAAAAAAAACCCATAAACATCCTTAAAAACAAACAACATAAATAAAAATATGAAATAGCAAACACCCAGCTAAAAAATCTAAAAATAGACAACTTGAAAATGGAAAAAAAAAATTATTACAAACAGACCCCTTTAAAATGCAAAGGGTACGAACAACCTCCAAAAAATCCGAACTTTACAATAAACCCTTAAAATTACGAAAATTATAAGCAAATATTATTAAGGGTTTTCTGCCACAAGTTATTAGGAGTTAGATGATAAAACTTAAAAACTTATTTAGGATTTTTGTCAGAATTTATTGATGGATATTTTAAGTATTTGACCATACATTAACTGATAGTGTTAATTTAGAGGGTTTTCTACGAAAAGTTATCGGGGATCTGGCGAGGATTTCAAAGATATTGGGCGTTTAGTGACAAACACCCAAACTTATTTGAGGTTTAGGAAATTTACCAACATTTTGATTTTTATAGAGAAGGTAGACTGGCGGTTACACGTGAAGGTTATATCTATTGAAGATAAATTTGTGGTTACTATTACGATAACATATTTTGGCTGTCAACTAAGATGAGACTTAAGTAGACAGTAGAATCAAGTAAACGGCATCATAAATAAAGTACATAAAAATCTGCTATTTTGTGAGCATAAAAAATTTAAAGAAGAAATTAAACTGCATAAAAGAGAAGAAATTGATAAAGAAATTGTTTAAAACCATTCTTTATGTGTGTGTGTGCGTGCGTGTGTGTGTGTGTGTGTAGAGAGAGAGAGAGAGTTTTACCACTAGCTATGCATCTCAAACAACTACCATGTGTCCATCCCTAATTTTGAATTTGATGTTTTCAAATAAGAACCATCCACAGACTTATTCAGTGAGCCAAATTTTCTTTTTTCTTAACTTTAGAATATTATAAAAGTAGAGAGATTATAAAGGAGCAATTGATGAATAAGCCATCTTATTTTGAATTTTAAATCCCAAAGTAAGAGGCATCCACATCCTTATTTTGTATTTCCTTTATAAATAGAAAGCTCCAGCTTAGACTATCTAATTACAATCTCTTTGCATCCCTTATATTATGTTCAGAACACTATGGGGAAATTTAAAGGGTTATATCATGTTCATTTTTATATTACAAGCCATTGTTATATATTATTTATATGCTCATATCATTAAAAGAAAGTACAATTGAATTTAGAACCATGAGCATAATCGAAAAAGAAACTCATAGAAAACAAAGAAATTAAATATACAAACCAAAGAAAAAAGACCCACCCGTGTGAGCACGAGCATAACACTTGTGTAATATATAAGAAAAACACATCCTATGAAGAGGCTATTTTATGGAAGCAACGCTTTAGAAAATACATAAAAATCAAGAAATATTAGTAGAATAGAAAACTTCTAATACCTATATTTTGTATAACTATAGTTGAACTAATTATTAATCAAAGACTGATGTAACGGTATGAAAAGGGAATGAGCATGTAAGCATAGAATAAGCTAAGACGGTTCTTTGGATAATTAGAGTTTGTAATAAAATATATCATAAACTTGAACTACTTGTCTAGCTATATATCTATTACTATTGTTAAGAATCCATCCCTTTGGTCCTAACTTTTTGGCCTACCCTGTGTATGTCATGAATTCAAATAATTCCATGAAATGTCCTAACAATTTACACATTTACACAGTTTCATAATCATGAAAAGGGTAAACTTGGAAAATTCAAAAAAAATTCCCTTTTAACTCCATCCCTCTCATGTTCTCCACAACTACACCTATTAACCACCAATGTGGCAATAACTCTCTTTAATACCCCACTTACTCATCCATCCCTCTAACTTTGCGTCGCTTTTAACCTCAAATTTGAAATGTGTATCCACGTATAGCGTGCACAAGAAACACTAGTGTATATAAAATAATGGAAGGAAGTGGTAGTTCGCTTATGAAGTACAAAAAGATGGGTAACTGTGATGGACCTCTTGCTTGCATAAGACTCATTTGATTGCTAAGGGCTACACCCAAGACCTACGACATTGATTATCAAGAAACGTTCTCCCTAGTTGTCAATATGTCTTCCATGACTCCCTTGCTACTACTCACCACTGGTCTTCACAACCATGAGCATTACATAGAAATTAAATGCCCAGTCTTCCAGTCTTCACTAGGAAATTAAGTCTTAAGAGAGCGTTCAAACTACGGAGTTCACAATGTCTGGGGCGAGGGTAAACGAGACAAGACATTGGGAAATTAATTTAAGAGAGAAGTAACGTGGACTTGCAATGATTGTCATCTTACTTGAGTAAAAATTTTGAGTAATGTAACTTTTGACAAATATATGTAAGGAGTAAATTTAGGAGCAAAGGATCAGCTTAACACTTACGAGAGATAAACCAACAAACAACATCGAGTTAAAGAAATATACAAAAAAATTTAAGTAAACCAACTAAGGGTCCCAAGCCATTTAGACAAAGAAATAAAACTGACCATCAATTTCAAGCTCTCCAAATGATCACACAGACAACTGAACAATTTAGAAGGCATGTCCTCGTGCTTATATAGCTCAATCTTCGGCGTGGAAAATGGAATGTACTGAGCCAATATTGATTCACTAGAAACGGTATATACCTTCATCAAAATTAGGTGTTAGTAATAAGAGAAAATTGAGTTTGACTGATCAAAGCAAGAGTTTCAAATAAATTTACCCAGAAGGGACCTAGGAAGGAAAAATAAATATGTCTAATGATAAACAATAAAATACACTATACTCTCAAATTATGTATCATCAAAAATAGTATTCTTACAGATCCCTTCAGATGTTAAAAGAATACTAGCAAGGCAATAATAATAAAAACTAAAAAGAATGTCTTGTAAGTACCATTACTTTATAACATCAACTGTAGAATGTGGTGATAGATCGACTTTCCTGTCTCATTTAAAAATATAAACATCCAATGTAGAACATGGTGCACTATTTATGATAATATTTTTGTCTATTTAAAAAAAAATTGGTAAGAGTAGGGTCCAACAGGGAACAGCATGCTTTCAGGAACCACATGTTCAAACTGAAAATACGAAAATGAACCTTCTTAAGAATTAAGAATAAACATGGTACAAGAAGTTTAAGCAAAATGTGAATAAAGAGCAACATGGAGATCCGGCTGAGAAGGACAAGTTAAACGTGGCAAGCAAATCAACAATGCCCCCCTCTATGAACATTCTGTGCTTCTTCCTTGTTAATCTTGACATTAATTAAAACATACAATGACCTATTTGACCAAGTTTTAAAATAAAAAAATATGATCCTTTATCCAATTGTTCAAAAAAGAACAGCAGAAAAATAAACCTAAACAAAGCCACAGCAATGACAAGATTTCGAGAAACTTTGATGGACATGTTATTGTTCACTATTCCATGATAGCGACTATACGTCTGCAAGTACAATAATGGCGTTAACTTAAAGCATCATCATAAAATGGAATTCATATATTTTCATGTGCATGATGATTGTTGTGAAGTGTATACATTAGATGTTAACCAATCAGAGTGTATATGCTCATAAAAAAGAATGGGGTAATAAGTTGTTAAGCTCCAAATATGACGGGGTTACATCTGCCAATAACCCAAAAAAATCAAAACAATTAGGTATGCCTCTCCAGTACTCAGACGTCATGACTAATCTTAACCACCTAAATGAGTGTAAAAACATTTGTGCAATCAAGCCAATACGATTACAGGAAGAAAGTCCGAAATACTCTTGGTAGACCTTTGCATTCATGAGACTCTCAATTTCCATTATCTGTTTAGAGTAGTCACTTCGGTTGTCTGAGACTGTAATAAGACAAAACAAGTAGTCATATGAATGTATAAACAAAAATAGGTAAACTACTCACAAAAAAGAAGTGAGAGAAAGTAATGCAAAAATTAGTGTGAAATAGTAAACAAAAACTAAATAGAAGATACCTTTGGATTTTATAAGGGAAGCTGTCATGCCAAAGATCCTCGGAAGGTGAGCTGGGTTTGACTCCAACTGGCGATGATAAAACTCCTACAGCAGATAACGGACTTAGAATTCTTGTCTATAGGACAAGCATAAAAATCAATTCCAAACAATATTAAGTATCGCATAACCAGAAAAAAGAGCAATAATCTAGGTAACACAGACACGGCGTTTTGGGTGTCGCATCCGTGTCCGACACGTGTTAAACACGGACTCTCCGCAGACACATCATGGACACATGTGGTTCAAAGAAAAACCTGATCTCCCAATTACTTATGCCTAAACTAGTTTATCCGGTAATATCAGGTTCAAAAGCAATTGTTTTTTAACCAGAAAAAACCCAAAAATTGAAACCCATTACTTTAATATTTGAAAAACACTCCATCATATTAACCCATGCAGTCGAAACTAAACTTTTTTTATTAAACCTTATTCTTAGTTTGATTTAACTTGATTGTTAATTGTTATAGATAATAGAAAGAAACATACAACTGTTATTGGTATTTCATTCAATATTTTATCATGTATGTATAATTGTGTGCGTGTGTGTACGCACCGTGTCCCAATATCCTACATTTTGCAAATTTGATGTGTCCGGTGTCCGTGTCCGTGTCCCTGCTACCTAGGTAATAATATTCAACAAGCAATAATTGTCTAATAGGGAAGCCACAGGACGACTGCAAGTATCTATTAACTAACAGAGGGTATTAGAGAAACAATGAATGTCATAATCATCAGTTTTCAGATCTAACAGTAGGAACAATGGAAAACAGAGAAGTTAAAACCAGACCACAACAACTAGATCATATCGCTATCATAATTAAAGCATAAGGCGTAAAGAAGGAAATAATGATAAACATAATTCCTCTGATCTCATATAAATGTAATTCAGTCCCGTCACATCTATTATTAAACCGAATACCAGCAAAAACTAACATACACAATAAAAAAAATTGTCACAACAAAGAAGACCACGGAAATCAAGAGGTAAATAAACTCACCGTCATGATCAAAGCGTAAGGGTGTCTCCCCCTTGCATGATGGCATTCATCAAAAATTAAGAGCTTTATCTTCTCCAGCTTGAAAAAACGATGACGCAAGTTGTCAACCAGAATTTGAGGAGTCATGACAAAGACCTGCACAAAATGCTCTTCATATGAGAAGAGATGACCCCTTCATCCCCTAGAATTTAAATAAATATAATTGGTAGTAACCACAGATAGATAGACCCAGCTATGATAATGGCATCAAATATTCATCTCTAAAAAAGATAAGATTTTTTGAAAAAAATTCAGCATGGATTTTACCTACGCATCAAGTTAGCGACCAAACTAAACATTTTATATCATTTTTTACCACAGGAAATTAAAGCAGACCTCGTAAAGTTGCAGTTGCTGCTTCCAAGTATCAGCACTCCAGAAATCGACCCCCATCTCCCCGTAGAACTGTCCCACTTTCAGATCCGTGTGCGTCTCTATAACTCTCGCTTGCTAAAATTTTTTTTTTTAAAAAAAAATCAATAAATAAACAAAAATCACCATCATCAGCTCCAAGACAGCAAAAGCAGAGGACCAAATCAGTTACTTGGGTGACCAGGACGACGGTGGGCACGAGGAAGACGGCGATGGAATCGGAGGGCTTGCGGACGGCGTCGGCGAAGGCGCGGAGCAGCATGACGGCGATTAGGGTTTTGCCGGAGCCGGTCTCGAGGAAGGCGATGGTGTTGCGCTCGATCGCCATCTCCAGCGCCTCAAGCTGGTAGCTGCGCGCGAATGATTGCGGATCGACTGGAGGAGGATCGTCGGTGTCAGTCGTCGCCGCATCTTGAAGGAGCTTCGGGTGCTTCGACTATTGATCGTCGTAGGATAGCAGAAGGAGGGAGAAATGAGAGGGAGAAGGAGTGGTAATTGTAAACCCTAGGTGAAACGAGAGATTTGTGTGAAAGTGTACGGACGCCCCCCTTTTCTCCCTTTTCGGCCGATTTCAGGCTTTTTATGAAGGAAACCAGAATCCTTCAAAGCTGAGCTGTCAACCTCCTTTTTCTTCTCTTTCCTTTTTCTATTTTGACCATCCAAACATCCGAATGTAAAGAAAACTGACAATTTTTCCCATGTCAGATTTCTTTTGGGGTCTTTTCTGTATTTGTTTGACCAAACAAACAGACCCTTAGGTAAAATGGCAAGGGTCTTTTGAATCTTCAAAAAGAATCCTCCCTCACTCGTTGCTAAATGAAGACCTGTGTGCCGCTTAAGCACCCGACTAGGCGCGGGGCTCTAGGTCCGATGCCCAAAAGCATTTAACGCTTTTTAGAATATTGGATTTACCCTAATGCATGGGAAATTTCGTGACTATAAGCCTATAAGGTAATAAGTGCTTAAAAACAACAATTAGTTTGAATTGATTTGTTGTAAATAATCCGTCATGTTCAGTATCTTGAGTTGATTTATTGAAGTATGTTAATTGGCTAAAAGTTGTCAGCAATTTTACCACAGCTGTTTGCCTGATTACTGCACTTATTAATGTTTCCAGAGCTAATTGATTCCGTTCTCATGTACTGGAACTTTACATACTTAGTTACAACATGGTGATAGTAGGTCTATTAACTTACTCTCTCTACCTTGTCAAAAATGGTAGCGGAATATATGGTGTCAGCTTGTTGCTGCATGATAGACAAGTTCACCCTTTGTTCTATTATGTTCACATATATATTTTGAGTGATTGGGTATTGCACATGGTTAGGCTTATCCACACGGTTAAATTATCCAATTTCCAGTGTTTTTTTTCTTTCTTGTATCTGGGAATTTACAATTTAAGTAGGAATTTCGGAAGCATGAAATCTGTACTTAGACATCTGTTTTAAATTTTTATTCCACAATTTTTAGTTTACTCTACCAATTGACTGTGTTTCAGATCCGTTTCATGAGGTGAAAAGGAAGCGTGACAAGAAAAAAGAGGTAATACTCTTTTCTACTACTCTCATATGTCGAACAGTCGAAAGCTCAAACTTCTTTTTTATTTATTTTATATCATATGA